TGGACCCTGAGGCTGGAACTCGGGATGCCAATTCAGACACCTGCCTTTTGGCCAACTCCCCGGGCCACGCCTGCCGTCATCCGCAGGTGCACACCCTTGATGGCTCACCTTGGGGCCTTAGGTGGGGACAAAGACTGCATGTGATAAGTCAGAGTGGTGTCCTTTGGCCCCTCGCCCTCCTCTCTGGCCTCACCTGTGCCCAGAACACTCTCTGGCCTTGGCTGGACAGATGGTCCCTTTGCTGGGCACATCCCCACGTGGCTACCACTGACAAGGCACTTAACTGTGCCCGGGTGTGTGTTCCTCGATCTCTCCTCAGAGTGAGGGTTCACACTCTCCAACCCTGATGTCCCAGCTCTGCTCTTCTCCTCCCAGGAAGACCACCGTAGCTACAGGTCCAGCTGCCCTGGATCCCTTGTGCGTGTGTGCCGAAGGGACAGGGAGCATCCGAAGCAGGGGAGAAGCGCCGCCCAGTACACTCTCCTCCCTTCTCCTGTCTCCTGCAGGCGTTTTCTTTCTCCTGCTGTGTTTTCCATTCTTCCAGGCTCTTCCAAACACATCTCTTAGCCATTATGGACTCTAAGGGGTTCGCCCACACCTACAGCCCCTCGGGTGTCTGATCAGTGGCTCTGCACCTAGACGAGGGTGGCTGCATGTCCCTCCTGACCCCATAAGCCTGGGGGCTGTCCACATCCTCGTTCTCAACAGGCTCAAATACTGCTGACCGATTTGGACCACGCAGCCTGCGCGGGTATCTGCCTGGCGACTGCCTAGGGCAGCAGGGAGGACGGGCAGGTAGCCACGCTCATCAGTAGCTCCTGGAACCCAGGCCACGACTGCCAGTTCCCGAGGGCCGAGCGTGTCCTCGCTGGAGGCTGGCAGCCTGCTCTCAGATCCCAGGCAGGTACCACGGTGGGGGGAGAGCTCCCACCAGCCACCAGCCACGCCCCAGCACAGCGTCCACACCCGAGTCTGGGACACATCTCTCCCCCTCTGTCTCCCAACCCCAGGAACTGCCGGCAACTCCAGTTCTAGTCACTCCCCTGGGAGAACGCAGCCTTCTAGTCACTCCCCCAGGGACACAGCCTTCCAGGGCCGCTGTCCGAATCCAGGTCCGAGGCGCTCCCCCCACAGCTCCCACCCTTCAAAACCCTCCTCCTCCAGACCCAAAAATGCATTCCCCCTTTTCACATGGTGACTTCATTTATCACTTGCACCTGTCTGGCTTTACGCCACAGCCTGGCCGTCGGGGAAGGGGTCTGCAGAGCTGTGCCCACCTGCCACACACAGTTCTAAACCCACGTCCACACGGCCTGGCACTGGTGTCTCGTGAAGACGAGATCAGGCCTCGAAATCCATGGGGCCGAGCTGGCCACTCCGTAGCCATTTACGGAAACCCAGCCGGAGAGGAGAGCAAGGATGGTCGGAACACAGATCACTCAGGCACTCTGAGGAACGACCGCCACCCCTACCCGGCCTGCGAGCGCCCAACGCCTCATTTAGCTCACAGGAACCTCACCGCCCTGCTCCTCCCCAGCACGTGTGTCCGCAGAAGACACACAATTTCCGCATGCTTGGTGCCCGCTGCCGGACCCCCATCAGTGCACGCATGGGGCTGGTCCCCTCGCCTTGGCAACCAGCACATGGCCTTGGCTGTGGGCCCTTCACCTGGCGTCGGAGATCACCAGGGGGTTTACAGACGGCCATGTCCAGAGATACCAACCCCAGAGAAAGATGCCACAGGGGGCACTCCTTTGGAGTAGAACTGGGCTCCGCCCCCAGAAGTGAGATCTTATCACCGCCCCCCACCCCCATCCACAGAGCTCCTGGATTTACCCCTGACTCCAGAAACTAGCCCATACGGCCCAGATGTGCCAAGCCGCTCAGCGGGGTTAACTGCCTCCAGGCTCCCTCCACGACAGCACCGCCTGAAGAGCGAACCCAAAGCTGGTCTCTGGCTGGGTTCCGGGCACCATCCACGCCTGCCATCCACAGCCACGGACTCCATGAGGTGGTCGGAGTCAGGCCAGCAGCACATGGGAGCAGCGCTCAGAGACAGGAAACGCGTCCCGCCGGTCCTTGCTTTCCTGGAAAAGCAGGGGCACAGGGCCCTCCAGGAGGGTCCCAATCACCTCTAACCTACCTACAGCTCCCTTCATCCCAAATTTCGTGACCTCATCATGAACTCCTTTTGCCGACCACACTTCCAGTCCTACCAGCTCCCAGAAGTCCCCACACAGGCAAACAGAAATCCGACTGTTTAAGTCAACGGCCTCTTGTAGACACTAGGCCAGGTAACAAGCCCGCACCAGGCCAACAATTAAAGGCGCCAGGACACCACAGTGAAGGGCAGCTTGTAGGCTCCCAATGTGCTCACAGCTGTCACCCTTCACGGGCCCCTGCGTCACAGCCCCAGGGGGCCCAAGGTCACCGGTGGAGCGGAGGTCCAGAAGTCCGGGCCAGACTCCCTGTATTCGCAGAGCGACCCAGACTAGAGTGATCGTTACCAGCGCCCCAGGCGATTCTGTTCTCAGCCAGAGCCTGGGATCATTGCAAGAAAGTCATGAATAAGCACGCTTAAAGGAGAAGCAGACACAGAAAAGCCCCGGCCTTCCCTGGGAGGTGGACTCCACAGCCAGCCAGGGCCTCCCCGAGGGTGTCTCGGCTCTGTATCCCACGGTGGCTGAGCACAGAAGGGCCAGCGGCAGCGGCCCGGCTCAAAGACCTCTCCCCGAAAATCATGTCCACCCAGAACCTGCGTCTGGAACCGTATCTGGAAAGAGGGTCTTTGTAGACGTGATCAAGGGAAGATGAGGTCATGCCAGATGAGGGTGGGCCCTAAAGCCAGGGACCAGGGTCCTTCTAACGAGAAGAATTTGGACAGACGTGCACAGAGAAACCCGCTTAAAAACAGAGCAGCAGCTGGAACAACGTGTCCACAAGCCCAGGGTCGCCAAGGAGCGCTGGCAGCCAGCAGCAGCTGGGAGAGGGAGACCCGGAGCAGATGCTCCCTTGGACCCTCCAGGAGGAGCCAACCCTGCCACACCTTGATTTTGGACTTCAGGCTCCCAAACTGTGACAGAAGCAACTCAGGCTATTTGGAGCCTCCCAGCTGGAGGATTCCCCACAGCGGCCCAAGGAACCTCACGGACTGGGCTTTACCGTGCAAGTCGTCGGCACCCCCGCAGGGCCTCCAGGATAGGATGGGGTTAAAGTTTAGGCTCTTGAACGATTCTGATGCAAGGAAACTAAACGGGACACACATGCCAGGAGATCCAGGTGGAGGAGGGAGGAGCACACAAAGCAAGAAAGAACCTCGAGGCTTGCTGAAGCTCCTTGACCCTGAACCTTTGCTGCCTTGGCTTCCTGGGCAGGCCAGGACGAGGCTGGAAATTCTTCCCACGCAGCTGAAGAGTGAGGTGGTCCCCAAGCCCAGCCCTTGCCTGCTCGGCTCCTGTGAACCAAGCCCAAGCCCAAGCCCTTACAAGACTCGGTTCCTCTGGGCCTTGGGACCATCCTGCCCGCCAGCCTGATGGTCAGAAGCATGGCCTTACTCTTAGCAAAGGGGCCTGGGCGCCCAGCGGACTCCCCAGAGGAAGTCCAGCGTGCCTTGCTCTCAGATCCCGCTGGGCACCAAAGCCAAATCAGGGGTCAGCCTTATGCCCCCCGGCTCAGGCTTTACGTAAAACGACATCGCAAGCGCGCACACACCACGCTCCACACCAAGGTGGCCGAGCCACGTGATACCTGCAGGTGGGCACCTGCGGACCCCTCGGGCTAGGCGGCAGGTCCCAGGCCCAACCCGGGAGCAACCAGGAGCCCTGGGGGTGTGGGGAGATCGGAGGCCAAGGCTAGCAACAGGAGAAACCCAGACACCCCAGCTCCGGGTGTGCACAGGTGAGGGCAGCCAGCCTCACCATACCTCGCCTGGCAACCAGATGCTCCACCAGCTGCGACTTAGAAGCTGAACCTGAACCTGTTGAGAAGCCAAGGGGGGGAGGGGAGGAGGACAGGGGCCTGCACCTGCTACACATGGGTCCTTCTGGCTAAACAGAACTCCGCCCAGGAAATCTGGCTGACCCTCACCAGGGCAACTGGAGGCCCTGACAGAAACCTCTGGGGCCCCGCTGGTTCCTCCCGTTTCTGCTGCGTTCTCCCTGCTTGTCTCCGGCCCCTGTGTAGATCAGAACAAATACAGAGCTGCTCCCCCCTCCCTTGCTCGCTCCCACCTTTGAGGGGAAAGGAGTGCGCAGGGGCAAAGATATTTTCTGAGAATTCTAAGCCGCCACACAATCCCACTTGCCCCAAAGTCTCCAGTCTTTGTGGATGTCCTGCAGGCAACCGGCGGCCAAGCATTCAAGGACCGTCCTCCCTGTCCAGCCCTGTGTGCGACGCCTCCCAGAACAGAGCAAGGGGCAGCCCCTTGGGCTCTACCTGCCTTTCCCGGCCGCCCCTCTGGGCCCAGGGAACTGGCCCGAGGAGGGAAGCTTCCATTCTGCACTTCATCCGGTAAGCCCCCAAACCGGGCTGGCGGGAGAGGGCCAGGCGGAGAAGCCCTTGCCCACCCGGCCTCGGGCCTGAGAAGCCCAGCTCCATCTGTCTGTCTGGGAAAGTTTCTCCCGGGGTCCCCAGCCCTCCAGCCCCGGGGCCGGAACTCTCCCCACCCCACGCTGTGTCCCCCACTCTCCCCGCCCCCCGCGCTGGCATCCCAGGGCCCTCCGCCTGCCAAACCCCATCCGCTCCCTGGCTCCCTTTTCTGGGGCTGGAGCTGCGGAGGAATTTCGGCGGAATTTTGAGGTTGAGAAGCATCTCCGCCGAGAGGCAAAGAAAGGGAGACGTAAGGGGAAAAAGAAAGTGCGATTTCGGCGTCCACTTGCAGGATTCTAGCAGGCCCGAGGGCCGCGTCCGGGTGTGGGCCCCTCGTCAAGATGCGGGCGGGCGGGGCGCCCGGGGACCCTCGGGGAGGCGGGCACCGGGCCGGGGCGGGGTCGCCGGCTTACCTACGTCCGCATTGCAAAACGCCTGTTGCGGGTGCACCGGGGAGCAGCTGCAGGCGTCGGCCCGGCGCAGCAGCGTCCCCAGCAGCAGGAGGCCGAGCGCCAGCCGCAGGCTGCGGGCCGCGGCGCCCATGGCGGGCGGGGGCGCGGGGACGCGGGGGCGCGGGGCGCGGGGCTCCACCGCCGCCGCGGCTGTGCGGGCGCTGGCCTCGGGGCGCGCCGGGGCCGCGCGGGGCTCGCTGCGCTCCGCGGGCGCGCCCTCCGCACCTGGCCCGCGCTCGCCCGCGCAAACTTTCCCGGGTCTTTGTCGCGGGCCGGAGAGGGGGCGCGGGACGCGGCGGCGGGCGAGCGGGCGGGCGGGGGCGGCGAGGGAGCGAGGGAGCGCGCGCGACCGGCCGCCGGCTGCCACGGCCTTCTATGGATGCGTGCGCTGCGGGCGCGGGCCGAGCCGGCCTTTTATTGCGCTCCGAGGCGTGCCGGCTCCGCCCCCCGGTGGCGGGCGGCCAATGCGGCGCCGGGAGCTCCCGGCCGCCCCCTCCCCGCGCGCCTCCCGCGCCTCCCGCCCTCCCCCGAACCCGGCTTTGTTGTGCCCGGACCCGCAGGCACGTCTGGGGCCCGCAGCTGCGCACCTGGCCCCGGGCCGCGCCCCTCAGGCCCCGCAGCTCCCCAGCCCCGCCCCCCACCCGAGATCTGCGGAGGTCGGAGGTCGGGGTGGCAGCTGCGGGGCGGGCGGCTCTCGCGGCGGGGCGGGGGTGGGGGTGGGGGTGGGTGGGCTGACTCAGCACTTGGGACCCGAAGCCCACCCCTCAAGGGCACCAGGCGCCCACCCCCGCCCCTTCCTCTCCAGCTTGGCACGGGAGGTGTACACTGCCCACTCCCGTCCATCCCTGGGGTCCCTGAGCTAGGGATTGAGCAAAAGGGAGGCGCGCTGCGGGGCAGGGGTCATCCCCCGCCACCCCCGTGGTTGGTGGCCTGGGGAAGCTTACTGAAGATTCCTTTTACAAATGGAGGTCTTAGAATTTTAAGTGCGCTTGGCCAGTTCAGAGGGAGGGGGAGGGGAGTGGTTACTATGAACAAAACAGGATTTTTATATAAACTGGCCATATTTTTGACCAGCCAACAAGAGCCAGAGGGGTGGGCCTAGGAGTCGAGGAGCTAGGATTGGAGGAAAGCGTTCGCTGGGCTCTGCTCACAGTTCCCTCCCTTCGCCCACAAATGTGGGACTGAAGGACTTTCCCCAAAACAGTTCTGTGTTCCAGGAAAGGCTGGGATCCTGGAGGTGCAGAGAAGCCTGTGAAGTGTGGCCACCGGGGTCCCTGTGTGCCTGTCACCGAGTCTGCCCTGAGCCCCTCTGTGGTCGGTGCTGTCACACGCAGGCCCTCACTCTTGCCCACAGGATGTCTGTAGTCTAGCCGGAGGGCCGTAAACGGAGGAGTAATTGCCCACTAAACTGTGTGGTGCCGACTTGCCGACTGGCCTTGCCATAGGAGACTGGAAAGTACTGGAAAGCTGGAAAAAACAGTTCCTTTCTGTTTATGTGCCTTCGCAGCAAACAACTGGGAGCAGAGTTAAAGAGGCCGTGTGGTTATTTTTAGCACCCTGACGAATCCAAAGTCACTTTTCCCACTTTTGTTCCCGTAAAATAGAACTGTGTCGTCTTGAAACGATGTAGGATCTAACTTTTTAGTTGTTCATTCAAAAATTATAACATGATGGCTGCTTAAGGCCTTGCCTCCCTGTCCTTCTTTCTTTATGGCGAATGGGAAGAATTGCAGTGGAACTTTAGAGAATCCAAAGTCGATTTTTCAGTTTATGAGGGAAACAGATAACCTAAGGACACCCTGTCCTTTAGGCAAGATACACACATTAGCAATGGTGCACAGTGAGGGTGATGACTATCCCGGAGGCAGGTTTGATGGTGGGGCAAGGTGGAGGGTGCGGGCCAGGCCATTGCATGGGGTTGGAAATAAAGGACCTGGCCTGCCACCCGCCCGCCCACCCTCCCGTCCATCCATCCACCAACAGTGCTCATCGGAGGAGAATCTACAGTGGTCACTGTCCCAAGAGCAGGCCATTCAGAAATCCACCGAACAGACAGAAGTCCCAGGGGCAGCAGGTGGAAAGACCCCTGAGCCAGAGAAGGAGGAGGAAAGTGAGGGAAAAGAGCCAGCTAGGACCCCAGTCAGAAGGGCTGGGAGGGGGGAGAATGTACCTTTGATTCTGAGTGAGTTGGAAGGTTTTCAGCAGAGAAGCATTGCAGGTCCCTCTGTAAGGACGGGGCGGGGGCTGAGGACGCCAGTACGACCCAGACCCAGCCAGCCCAGCCAGCTCGCTAACCCCACCCAGCTTCCGCCGCCCCGTCCACACCAGGGTCATTAGACCCCCCTAACAGGTTGTTCTGAGGGGCCAACGTGGTCTCTAGAACGTGGTGCATGTGTCCCCTGTTACCACGAGCCGCCCGTGTCAAGTGACTCTCATGAGGACGTAGTAGGTGAAGGGACGGAGCGGTGTCTGGAACCCGGGTCCCCTCCTCCAGTTCCGTGTCCCCTGCCCCGGCCATCGGACTGCCTCCTGCAGCCGCGGCTCCCGTGGACCTCCCTGCCCCTCTTCCCATCCTTGACCTGCCCTTCCAGGTGCTTTCTTCCATCTCAGGACCAAGGAAACTGAGGCCTCTGACCAGGAAAGTACTGAAGGGAGGAGGAGATCAGAATCGGCCACGGCCAGCAACGAGATGTTCTTTCACGCACTCCGCGCCAAGAGGGCTGGAGGGACACAGGATGACCTCGGGACAAGGCCTGCACTCTGGATCCCCACCCAGAGGAGGAGGACGGGGTCAGCATGGCCCATAGCCTGCCCCCACCCAGGCCCAGGAGGAGTGCAAGGGAAGAGGCCCCGGGGCTGGTAGCTCCCTCTTTTGCCTTCACTGCTAACCAGCCTCCTCTACCCTGATAACAGGGAGCGGGCCACATCCTTCCGGACGACAGCCTGCTGGACCTCAGCTTGTATCTGTCCCAGAGCCTGACTCAGGCCGACTCTCTCCTAAGAGTCTCTCCTAAGGCTGACTCTCTCCTAAGAGAGACGTGAGGGAGCAGTACCTGCCAGGCCAGCCGGGGAGGGGGACATCACTCCCGGGCCCACGACTGCCCACCAGAAACATTCACCTTGCCCCTGCCTCCCCCACCGAGAGAGGTTTCCAGCGCGGAGCCCAGCAGAGCTGTCACCCGTCCCACTCATGTCGGGGCACACCCTGCAAACACATCCCGGGCTTGGCTTGGCCGAGTAAACACCGACTGGGCCCAGGAGGAAATGCCAGCACCTCCTCCCTCCTGCTCCTGTCGGGTAAACAGAGTCAGAGTGACCTCTCAGGCCTCGGGCACGAGGCCCTGTCCATCCGGCATGGGGCGAGCCCTGGAAGTGTGGGTTCTGCGTAGACTCACTCTCTCCGTTTGGGGAAGGTCTGCTGCTTCCTGGGTGTGTGGAGCGTGTTCTCTCCCTGGAGATAGCAGGACGGGAGCCAAAGCCCCCAGCCCCATCCGGCAGGTTGCAGAGAGCCAGACGCTCCCCAGCATACAGGCATTCACACGGGCCCCGCAGGCCCAGGAAGCTGGATGGGGACGCGTGGGAATGTCTTGGGCAGCTCCTGGGGCGGTGGGGAGCTGCCGGCTGTGCAGGGAGCTGGGGGACAGCCGTGTGCCCGGCTATCTGGGAGGTTTCTGGGGTTGTGGGATGCGTGGCTCTCAGGGATCAGGATCACAGTGGGCCCCTGTCCAGTCTGGGCGTCTGACTCACGGCCACATAGGCAGGTGATTCCCCCACCACCACCAGCGCCAGCCCAGATATTTGTTCCCCATGTCCCCTGGCCAGGAACATCCCCGATGACAAGAAGGTGAGTCAGGAGAAGGAGGGCCGACTGTGGCCTGGAGAGGGGCTGCAGGTGTCTGGACAGTTAGTACCTTCATGACCGGCGGGGGACACCTGAAGGACCTTCCACATTCATTCATTGCATGAATTGCCCTTATTAACCCCCTTTGGCCAGGCCTGACGTGTCTGCCTCTGACCTCTGGGTCGGATTGTTTTCTTGGGGGGGTGGGTGGGGCGTGCCCTGTGCCCTGTGGGTGTTGAGCAACATGGCTGGCCTCCACCCTCTAAATGCCACCCCCCCAAGTTGTGACAACCAAACACATCTTCAGACATTGCCTAATGTCCCCGCAGGGGAGCAAAACCACCCGGTTGATCACCACCCGCGAAGGGAAGTTTGATAAGAGTCTGTGGACTTGAGAAAACGAACGCAGAGACAGATAAACAAGGTTGAATTTTTTAGAGCAAACACCGGTGCACAGGGGAGGTTACGGTGCTGGTGCGTGACCTGGACAAGGGCACACGGGACGGCAGAGCAGACTGTCCACGCGGGCACTCTGGGGAGATGGGGAGGGCAAGGGATAGTTAAAGGGATGTTTTGTGTAAATGTCTGTGAGCAAACGGCACGTGTCATATTTCACTTACACGAAATGACACGGATGTGTGGGGAGAGACCACAGAGGAAGACGGTGCCGGCCAGGAAGTTTGTGGAGTGTCTCCAGGTGGTGGGGACCTGGGTGACCGGGATGGGCGTCCTGTCCTGGGAAAGCAATTTTTAGGTGAAGCTTCAGCCCTGCATCCATGGCTGTTTTATGCTGTCTCCCCTTGGGGTCTTGGCGTCTCTCTCCGTCCCTGTCTGCCTCCCCTCCAGGCACCCCCATCCTCTCCTTGCACGCAGGTGCCCCATAGGGAAGGGCCTCGGATCCTGGGTACCCACCTGGCGTGCCCGCCTGCCTGTGGGCCCCGCCAGCCCGCTCCCCATTGTGCAGCCTACACAGGCCGGGCAGCCTTCCCGGCACTGCCTGCCCACCCATGCTGCTCCGATCCAGTCTAGAGTAACTCCAGAAAGAGGGCGGGCAGGCAGGAGGCTGTCCCTTGGTGAGCAGGCAGCCCCATGAAGTCACCGGCTTGAAGTGGCCGCCCCATCCGAGCTGTCTGGGAGCAGACGGCACACACGCTGCCTCTGGGGAGGCTGGGCTGGCGCCACCAGCACATCCCCTGGGCCCAGGTTCGCAGACCTCGTTCCCCTGGGCTCTGCGTAGGCGCTGCCTCTCCCCACCATGGCCTCGTGCATGCATTC